GGTAATGTGACTTCGTCGAAGCATGTTTTCCACTGCCTTCGTAGCTCAAGATTTCCTTGCCCATTTCCAGCGTTCTTGAGCTCATTGGAAAAAGCAAGCCGAGCTCCACCTACGGAGATCATGTCTATCCATTAATCCTACTCAGCGTCTACTCCAGAATTCACTATTACTCTTCTTCCTATTATTCCTATTCTAAAACTTCAAAATTACTAGCCCTTTACTTCCAAAATTTATCTTTTCTGAATAAATGAAAAAACTACGTTACCACAACATAGCACTTTTATAAGAGTAACTAGTTGCACTATCAACAATCTGGATTACTTTAACGATAATTCTATTGTAACACTAAGATTTATAGAGAATCTCATCTGAAGATGAAAACATTAAATATGAAGATGAGAGTTATCAATAATGATTTTCATCATCCTTATATACCTATTACCAACAAGTACAAGTGGATTATATCTCATATCCACCATCCATTCTACTCATAGGGTTGTATGATGTAACAAATAAACCTAACAAGCAGAGAGATTGTTGACATGACGTTTCCAACTAACACAATCAATCTTACCTAACAAGCACACGAATTGTTGACTTGGTGTTGTCAACTAACAACAAGTCAGCATGCGGATCGCTTACATAACTAGTTCACGCTAAAGTAACTATAACTCTATCTTGAGTAACCTCTAATTTAGTTCTAACTTACTAAAGATGGTTAGATCTACTCAATGTAACAATGAATGCAATTTATGAAATCGTTTGTGAAAATAGATGCAATTTTATTTTGTAAACAAGGTTTTTTACCTGCAAAATAGGTAATTTGTGTCGTCTTATCTTAGAGCTCCATCCTAAGTTGGATTGTTGGACATTTGAAAGTGTTTATTTGTGAGATTCTAACATTTGCCTAAATTAAACTTCATGATGAGACTACATTAAGCTAATTTAGATAATTTAATCTATGACCTAGATTTAAATATTTTTGTTATGTACTTCATAAACACATACTATTTTTATGACATAAATATGATTTTGATTTAGTATATGACATCCGCTTTTGTTCATTAGAGGTATGAGATGTTAAACAACTGCTCTAAGATGCTAAACATGGTAGAGCACTTTTAGTTTTAATTTTGTTTGAACAATCTTCTTCTTCTTCTTTTCAAAATTTTTCATTGTGGCAATTTTTATTAAAGTACTTGTCAACTACAACAAGATTATGACTTCAATTTTTGGTTTTGAATCTAATTTGTACACTATTATTGATTATGCACATAATTTAGCATATTGTAAATTTCACGGATTTTGTGATTCGTCTATTTGTTACTTGTTGGAGTTATTGTGTTGAATTTTATATTTCTTACTAAGGTAATTGTCTTTATTAAGGTAACTGTCGATTTTATCTTAGTTCAGATTTTGTAATGATCCAAAATCTTTGCAAAAAAATCTTATTTTTGTGAATTAGGTTGTCAAAGCTATGACTTGCATGACCCACACGCCTGAAGTTGACTTGTTGTTTTTGACTATTCAAGGTTCTTGAGATTATTTTAAATTTTGCTAGTAATGATTTGAACATAAAAAGACAGATTGATTACCATCATAAAACTACACTTGGATCTTGGAGTTCCTTTAGTACAAATCAAATATGTTGATTAAGCTTTACTTCATTAGTCAATAAAATTGCTTGTGAAATAACTATAAGTTTTTTGATTGGATCATGATTTTTCAAAAAAAATTACCACCAAAAGCCAAAATTGTACTTGTTAAATAAAATATTATATTTCAAAATAAAATAATATTTTTCAAAAAATATTATTTTCAACTTTTAATTTTAATAATAAAATTTATTTCATTCTAATAGAGATTGATTTTATTTATGCACATATTAGAATTTTTTTCAAAAAAACATAGATATTTTATTTTCAAATTTGTCTTAATTTTAAACAATATGTCATTTGTTTGTAAAAATGATTCTATTTTATCTTTATAAATTCATATTTTTTATACAAAATATTTAATTTAATACATTGAGATTTTCTTATCGAAATTTTTAACAAATTTTGAGTAAAGTAATAAAAAAATTTCTTTCAGTTAATAAATCTAATTTTAATTTATTTTTCAGTTTAAATTTTTAAATAAATTTTAAGTAGTATTAATAAATCTGGAATTTTATTCTTAGAAATTCTTACTTTTTAAGTTTTAAACTTATTATAAAATTAATCGTTCAATAAAACTTAATATTATTTTAAGAAATTATAATGGGAGTATTATAATTTTAAATTTGAGTTGAGAAAAAATTTGATGAAGAAAATATTTTGGTTTTAAATTTCGTAAATTTAAATATTTTTATTAGACATGTTAATTTATTTAAATATAATAAATATTTTGGTATTTTTTTAAGAACATATGAATTTCACTTGAAATATATTAGAATAAATGTTGACTATAAATTTTGATTTTACTGTAAGTTATTAAGATGTAAAAACTTATTTTTATAATTTTTAGTTTTATCTAAACACAATTTGAGTTTATGTATTGAAATTAAAAATATTGTGGTCATATTCTTTAAATATATTTCTTTCTTTCAAATTAAATTGTTATTTTTTTATTCAATGATAATTTCCTTTGAATTTTTATAACTTTATTTTTCATTTCAGTTAAATTTTTAATTATAATTGTAGAATTATTATTTTTTATTATCATAAACATTTCATATGTTAAAAAAAATATACGTGAAATGGTAATATATCAAACACAATGAACTCAAAAGTTTGAAAAAGTAAGAACATACCAATGATCAATAACTAGCTAATACCAAAATCACTACAACGGTAATAAATAATGTATCTAATATAATATTCTAAATCAAAAAAAATTATTAGAAGTAAAGAAATAGAAATTCTCCATATCCATATTATGAGCAAACCTAATGTCTTTGTACCTACAACAAGTTACAAATACATGCTTTTTCATTCTTAATATACTCACCCTAACGTAACTTACATATATGTTCATTCTTATCAATATTAAACCAACGTACTTCTTCAATTCTAAACCTGCAAGATTCAATTCTATGACTAGCAATAATATCACGCGAGTAAATAAAGATTCCTACAAATATGTATTACTTCACAATAAACAAGAATATGATTCACATGAAATTGATAAAAATGTATCTTGGTGTCGTGTTTTATCCAAATAATGTTCAAAAACTTTTCCTGTAAACGTTCTCAGAGTACTATAGGTTGCAGGTCCTAATCAAGTTCTGACACATTTCACTTCAAAAACCAAGTTAACACATTTGCAAACCATCCTTTTATACATATGGCATACAAAGCTTCAATAGTAAACCGAGAAGCATCAAGAAATCTCATACTTCTAATGTAAATGATGATTAAATCTCTAGAGGTAATCAACATATTTCTACAAAAAATAGCATATTGAATTTGGTTCCTTACATCCAATTTTTTTTGCAGAAAGATTTTATGTACCCTCTTAACACGCTTCCAACCTGTATTCTTACAACCAGAGTTTCATATTTGTGTTTCATACAATACTATAGGCAACATTAAGTTTTTAAATAAAATTAACAAGTCAAAACACTAAAGGAACTCTTTTGTACTGAATTCGTAATAAATATAGAACTTTGTAATCATCTTCTAATTTTTTTTCAAACAATGTGTTTAACTATAATTCTTACAAAATCAATAAATATATTAAAACTCATATCTTACTATATTGTAAGTTCTTGTAATATAAATATACTTTAGATCTAGTGTACACTATCATGACTTTAGATTTCTTTATATTTATCTCCAGATTCAAATACAAAAACTAGTTAAAATGTATAGATGTTTTTGTAAACTGATAGCATCAAGTATTAATAATATAATCTATTTCTATACTAGAGAATTTTGACAACACAATTTCATTTTCATGTGACTCCAATAGCTTTTCAATATCATTTATGAAAAATCCAAATAGAGTAAAAGAGTGTACATTTTGAATCATCTTAACAATTTTTTCTCAATCTGAACAAGCGGAATTTGTTCAGATTGAGAAAAAAATCGATAATAGTTAAAAATAAATAACTTTTCGTATAAAATGTTAATTTATTTATTATTTTAATAAAAATCAAATTAGATTGACCTTAGATTTTTTACATAAAACACGCAAGGTCAACTTATGATCAATGTTGTTATATGAAACAGAAAAACATACTTAGAACTACATTCTCTTTAGATTAGATTCAATACATGTGTTCACTTTGATTACACCAATTTGCTATACAGCTCTATGAATTTAATTATACATTGGAATCCAATTTCGTACCATTACAGTCAAATATGATGATAAAATTAAACCAGATAGAATTTTAACAAACAAAACCATTCCAGCGATATTTCTCTTATTAACAACTTTACTATCTAAAATCATATATCTTAAATTCTCTAAAATCGTGCGATATTTCTCTGACCAACAACTTTACTATCTAAAATCATATATCTTAAATTTTCTAAAATCGTGTCATATTTAATTTTATCGTAACAATTAAATTATAATCGCCAAAAGTTGAGTTATTATATTTTTAATGCAGAAAGTTCAAACTAAACTCTATAGTTGTCAAGTATTTCAACCAAGCGACATTCTTTAACTGTTCTTTCTCTAATTCATGTAAATCTGCAAAAATAGAAAAGAATGAGATTAATGGAAAAAATTTATTGAAGACGTCTTTTTTATATTTTATTCAAAAGATCTAGGTGTATGAAACATGACAGTTTCAAATTTGGTTGTAGTTTTCAACTCGATTTGTAACATATTGAACTCTGGGATTGATATCCAAAGTTCAACATTCCCCACTCAAAAATGACTCAACTTCGTTTGTTGAATTGTATTTATTTTAGAAGCTGACGGGGTTAACCGTGTTGAAGGTTATTCAAAATTTTAGGTACAATGCACATTCAAACGTGAAGAAATAATATTTATAAAATTGAATTCTCTTCCACTTCAATATTGAAACTCAACATTCGAAATTCAAAAATCAATGCCAATGAGGGAATAAATGGAAGGAAGGTGATCCAACCACAGGCGATGCCGTTGTGTCAAAGCTTTGGCCTAGTCTGGTCCCCTCTGGTCAAGTTACGTCCGGTCAGGTTAGGCTAGAAGAGAATGGGGTCCTTGGGGCTTTGCCCTGTCGCTGGTCGATTTGCTTTTGCTTGTTCAGGATCGGACCTCGGTTCGCGCACAGCTGCTGATGCGGAAAGGGGAGAGTGGAGTCGGGGCTCGGGCGGAGGAAGGGCAGACAGGGTTTAGGACAGAAGACAGAAGTGGGCGAATAGACTGGCGGAGCGAGACATGGCAGATTTGATTGAGGCGGGAAAAGGTTGGGATTTTTTTCTTCAGGATTTTGAGCGATCACAATTTTCCATCTATGTGGCTTACATGAACAGAGAAGCAGAACTGCGAAGGCTTTTAGAGTCCGGGAGAATCTCGGTGCAGCTCTCGTTTTGACCCTTGGATTATGCAACAACTATCATCGGTTACATTGAATCAAATACTTGTATTCTCCAACGTGAAACCCTCGAGCCGAAGTTGCCAGAGGAATCCAGTGGAAGTCAAGCTTCCCGATCACATCCAGTAGCACTCTACTGCTATCACAAGGCAATATGAAGGTCTTAGTTGTTGATCGCGTTGAAATTGGACCTTGAACGTCGTTGAGGTATTGATATCACTGGTATGATGATGGTATCACTGATCCATATCTCTGCAAGAAAAATCGAGTACCAAGTTCAGACCTGAAGCTCAAAAATTGCAGTATAATTCCTCCGCTGACCTTCCACAAATAGCAACCGGACGATTAGTTGTACTTCACAAGGCGATTCCCACAATAAAATATGGTGAGAAATGCCACCGCCGTTCAATGATCTAGGTCGGGAGTGTACAGCAAAAACCGTTTTGCAGCACCAGCATCAACAGCCCGGGTAAGGGTTATATCCCAATTCGGAGAAAATCTCTAGTACTTCGTAAAGCTAAACTACTTCCCAACAAGTGGAGAAGAAGGCTGCACCCGGCTCATCGATAGCCCCTGTTTATATAATGCTATATGAAGTCGCAAGACAGCAAGGGACACCAGTTAAGCCTTGGTCGAGGGGGTGGGTTTTAAACCGCAAAATACAGTGTATCTATCTACCTTTTAACACTTAACATTTTGAAGCGGTAACTTGGCTCTCCGGGAGAGGACCGAGCACGGAGAAAACGAGCAGGTATGTACGACGTACATAACCTGAACCCGGGGTCTTCAGGCCATATATTCAGGGGCCTACGTGCCAAGGCACAATGTCAAGTAAGTGTTTTTTATCACACGAAGTGCAAGATGGCTGAGAATTCTGCAACTTGCAAACTGTAAAAATATGGGATAGAACAACTCTAATGATCTGGTTCATGCAGCACCTTTGGCATGTGAAATCACTGAATTGGTGAACCAGAAAGAGACTCGTAATGTACAGACATACTCGTAATCGCCAGCTCTTTAGATTGAACAACTTTGAGACCGTAAAGGGAACGGATTAAGTGGTAAAAGGTTTTTGAGCAGACACCTGGAAGCTCGAAAATAGGTTTCTAGCATAACGTACGTCGCGATTCCTAAGATTTTATCGTGAAAAACCCGGATCGATCAAGGACAGGAATAAGGCTCGACGTCCATATGCTCGAACGTTGGAGATCAAAATTCAGGAAAAGAGAAGCCGATTAATATATATATTTATTTTGCACGATCGACTACAAATTATACGAGCTGCGGGAACTATAACTAGTACACACTGAAGCTCTGGTATGACCTGCAAATCACCGAAACAATTATAACATTTGAAGCGAATAAACTGTAAACTGATTGGATGAAGAAAAACCCGTGTAGGCCTGTCCCACACAGGTTGAATAAAGTGAAACGGAAGAAGAGGATAACGGAGTTAAGAAAGTGCACGCTTGAATATATCGATTCTGATACCCAGAGGTTATGGCTATAATAGAAGGTGAGCGGATATCTAGTATGGCGACTTAAACAACCTAGAAAATTACAGTGAGAACGAGATGATGACAGACCAGGATTGCTTTCTATTTAGCCACATGGAATGAAAAGTTGAAGCTGAGTGAATGACGAAATGACTGAAACTTTACGCGTACGAGGTGAGCTTAGAGCCATATACCTGTGATATAATCAAAACACCTTTAACATCGAAAAGTTCAGTTATCCAAAGGGATTCTAGACATTCTCAGCAGTTCCAGAAAAACTAACGATTGCAGTCTAATCTATCTTGTTGATGCCAAGAAACTACCTTCTCAAAGTATGAAATTGAAGAACAGGACAAAGGAACGTGCTGACTCCCAACCATCGTTAACACCAGGAATAAAGGCTTCAAGGGACATGGTTTAATTACGACATACAACTGTTTAGAGATTCTCGAAGGCTGCGGACATGCGGAGGTTTTAAAAAAGTGTTTGTGGAATTTCCAATGGCGTGATGACAGCGGAAAGAAAACATTTTAGCTGTACGAAGGTGAGGTTTGCAAAACTGCAGTTTCTCATGGATAATCTCATGCAGGCCAGGCCCACGCAAGTTGAATGAAGGATAACAGCAGCAATTGAGTGTGACAATGCGAATCAGACAAAAGAAGTAGAGAGCTAACAGACTGAAGGAGAAATATTAACAAGTATTGAGTGTACGCACAAGAGGATGGGCAAGCTTGAACCCTATCGATGCTGAGTATAAATATAGAAGCAGTGATCAACGTAGAGAATGAGCGTGCATCTACAGGCAACCACTACTTGGAGAATCTCATCACTTCCCTTCAGAATACTCTTTTATGAATAAGTGATCAACGTAGAGAGTGAGCGTGCATCTACAGGCAACCACTACTTTGAGAATCTCATCACTTCCCTTCAGAATACTCTTTTATGAATAAGGGTGACTTGTCTTGAAGTTGACTCGGAGGTTTTCGGGCACGGTTTCGATCCAGTTGATGAGGACCCGGAGTTATGCGTTGAGAAGCACAAAGCATGAGCGAAGGCCCATGAAAGCTTATCCGGAAAGAGAATGAGTAGTATATGGCAAACAGAGAGCGCAGTAGAGGAAAAAGTATCACGAGTAGTATGTAAGCTAAAAGCATCGTGGAAGCAGCAGCCCATCAAGCAGTTGACGCAGTTCAATTAGCAGCAAGTGAAGGAGCTCGCGATAACCGGGTGAAGACATTGACACTAATACAAAGAACCTATAGGCTTCAAGAAATTATAGACGTGAATAGTGCCGTGAATATTGCGTGGAACCCACGTTCGAAACAACATGGGTAGGAAGTATAATTGACTTTCTCAAGGGACGTAATACTGTCTAACAAGTATAAGCAAGATGTCTAGATTGGTATGCCGCAGTACCTGCACGTTGTCGTAAAGCTCGAACAATGGGACGGCTAGCAACTTCAGGTTTCTAGGAACGGCAAAATACTGCCTTTCCTGCTAGTGGTACAACGAACAGCTTCTTACATTCCTGCAGTGATAGATGTAACAAAAGTGAGACCTCGAAATAACTTGCACTAAGCCAACTAGCACAGAAAAGTACAAACAAGAACCACGGATCAAACAATTTATTGACTCGACATAATATCGCGATCTCCAATAGCTATTTCATTTGGAGCCTCGTAGTCAACAACTATTATTGGGTGCTTAAAATGCAGTACATTTGAAAGTGTAATACTTTCTAGATTGTATAATCCTGCACTGACGGAATATTGAGGTCACTGAAGCCTAGGATAATGAAAAATATAACAATAGGTTCAAGATCGAACCTTAGGTTTCGTTATGTGAGGTGGGCAATATGGGTACAATAATGTTTCAAAATTTGGCCGCCACCATACACCAGCACATTCACCTATATGCACGAAGCATGGTCTATTTCATACAATCAGGACGAGTACATCCATATAACCTAACGTGGCATTCAAATTTTACACCACTTCAATGAAAAGAACAAGATGAGACGGATGTCTGCCATAAATTTCCTGAAAGAGAGGATAAGCTAAAAGCGGGTTTGAGGAAGCAATTCTATACACCATTGGTTTCAAGGTCAACTCGTTATATTTATCGAAAAAACGAATGTACTAACTGCCAGTCTGGTTGTATAGACGAGGCTGTGGGTGCTAGCTTGCTTGTCAGCTTCCGCTTGAGTCCCTCGATTTCTGCAGAACAAAATTTTAGACTTTGGAAACACCTGGAAGGTCTAAAGCATAGTTCCAGAGTCGCACATAAGGCTAGGTTGATTTGTCAATATCAGTCCTCGAAAATTGAGCTAGAGCCCATTTCTGCATATACGCACCATTTTCACCAGTTTTCAGTCGTCCTCCAGGTAGCTTGAAAAAAGTATTTCCTATTTGAAGAAGAAGCACATGAGGATGATTTTGTTCCTGTACCTGCAACATATTTCATTACCAACAGGTTTTGCCGTAAATTCTCACGTTCAACTCGAACCGTTTGTTATTATATTCAGCAGTAAAATGGAGGAGAAGGAAGAAAGTGAGACAAGCAAGAACGATTAAGCTCGAGTTGGCTTTAAAAGTTGCATAGACCTCATGTGCTCCAGACACTTGTTTTCCATAAATGTGGATAGAACAACTGTCCGAGTTTTGATATTGATTAGGTTGGGGAATGATAAGCATGAAAGACTAGTGCTGAAAAATAATTATATATAACAATATTACGGTAGTCAAATGTATGGGCTAACAGCACTAAGACATAGTTGAACGAATCCGAGCTAGGTTCAGAAGGGAATATTCGAACTAAGCTCTACTAAGCAAGAACTCCGAAATTCAGGGGCAAGAAAAGGGGTTAGCTGTATGCTAGCTGCAGGAGGAACAATTCGAGTTCACTTCCATTACTCTGTCAATCTACATTGAAACGTGGGGCAAAGAACACAAATTTGAAAGTGTTCAGCCTTTTCGACATTTCAGGTATCATTGAGAGTTTCAAGTGGCCAAGAGAGAGAGGTCTGGACACTGTGAAGGTGCACTCGTTTCAAGTGTAAAAGCTCAGAAAACAGTGAGGGAAATATGTGAGGTCACGTTTTAAAACATAATGTGCATAAAATGAGCACCAATTACTCACAAGGAGGATCCCTTCCACACTGGTGCGCATTCCCTCCTTCATGTAACTGCAGGACACCGAGAGGCGAAGACTTGATGAAAAACAATGCGGTATGAAACAAAGTCGTGATAACCGACGAACCACTGCAACAGGACACATCCTCTAGAATTAAGATACAAAGAAACTGGTACAGCCAGAGCTCTGCGAGATCTCGCAATTGAAAAATTTGAACAAGAAACAAAAATTCCTACTTTTGCTTCATGCGCGCAAGCCGGTCAGCAACAGAAGTATCCTTCTCCATTTTCGCCTCCTTCCTGCCGAACGTGTAGGTCGACAAAAGATAAACGTTCACCACTGGCCCGCTCACCATCTTACTGATTTCTGTTCATGAAAATGGCGCTGCGCCGCTCCTTCGCGTGACATCTTCAGAATCGAGTCCGATGCTAGACTCGACGAGCTCGTGGAAGCACGCAATCTTTCTGCACACTTCACGTTTCGAGACAGCGCCCATCCACGAGTGCGATCGAAGTTTTTTCCCTCGGGAGTGAGCATAGGATTCGAGTTGGACCGGAGAATTTGTTAGTGTGAACCGGGACCGGTGGTCGAAAACCGCCTACAACCGGTGAGTCGATGATGTTCGCTTGGCTGCTGGGAGTATCGCAGTCAGTAACATCGATTGACTCCGCTCGGACAACCATGCAGTTTCTGCGGACACGTTCCGAAAGTATCGAGAGTCATTATCTAAATGTTGGAAAGTGCTTACTCATTCTCCCGTAACTACGTCGACTTTGATCTTGACTGTGGTTATAGTTATCTGTTTTCGTGAAGAGATGGTATTGAGTCGGACATGTCGAGCACACCATAAAACTCTTTTATGGTATATTCCAAACAATTAAATTCATATTATATTGTAGTGGTTATTTATTTAATGTAGATTTCATGTAACGTAGAATATGTCAACACTTCTGTGGGGCCACCTCTAGCTAGCCAGATGTGCTCATATAGAGGAGATGGAACACCGAGATTCGTTGTGGAGGTATTACTCGCGTGGTATATGTCATTTGGAGATTTATGCCTCAATGGTAAGAGTTATAAATTGTATTCGAGTTAATACACTTTCGATTTTATCTTTAATTTTCATGAAAAGCTTTCCATTAAAGTTCTTTATCATGTTTGATAATATTTTTCACAGCGGTTCAAATTTCAATCATTCTTGATTACATTTTGTATGATTGATGTGACTCCATATTAATTTCCTGTGTATTTATTCATTTTGATAATTTATTATTCTAAAAACTTATAGTCAAATGTGTTGCAAATTTGAAACTTAATAGCATTATTTTCAATGTTTTAGATTCTTTGATTCTCAACATCTGCGGTAAATGAAGAACATAACATCATATAGAGTTAAAAAATCAAATCTTGGTTTTTTTCTAAAATGTTTGTATAAGTATCGTTATGACAAAACTTAATATAATAAATCATACTTATTCGTTTTATTGTATTTATCACACGGATAACTTCTTAGAGAATTAAACCAATGTGCGTAGGTTGAATAATCACGCTAAAGTAACTGAATATCCTTCATCATAAGATTCATAGTTGATATAGAATTTTATTTGCTTTAAAATAACTCCATCTATATATAATGTTAACATCTCATATTTTGTGGCAGATTTCAGTTATTATCATGTTTAAGCATATGAATTTAATATATTTGTGACATCAATATATCACTTGTACGATTCTATGTCACACGAACAAATATCTTCACAATTATTTCAAACTAAATGATTGTCCAAAATATATAATCACTTCAAACATGAATAAAAAAATAATATTACAATTATCTTCAACATATACATTCATTCAGCATACTCATATCCAAAATATTCCAACTTTAGGTAATCACAAAAAAATTCACGATCCGCAATTTATTCATGATCATTTTGATTACACATCATAAATTTTATTTGTATTTTAGTATAATTTTCATTTTTATTTTACAGTCTACTTGTTGTAAACAAATATCATGAAATCTTAGTACCTACCTCTGTTCAACATCTTCGTCATGATGAAGAAAATTTTATCAAGTGAATTAATCGGCGTTTAAATGTATGTAGTGTACAAACTTGAAATAATTAATGATTAATAAAAATGGTAAATCAAATGTGCATATTGTTAGAAATATCTTATTATGATATTTGGCTGTTTTATCATATTGATAATATTAAGATCATTTCATACAAAATTTAGTTCATTCATGTAACGGATGAAAATCAACAAGTAGATCATGTTGAATATATTTTATTCATGCAAAAGTTAATTTATCAATGAAAATATATTTTCTTCAATTTTTTATTTAAAATTAATTTGATAATAACATTGCATAATACAAAGTAGTATCATTTTGTATGATGTTTATATTTTAAATCAAAAGAAATTATTACAATTTTTTTCATTTGAAAAATCAATTGGAATGTTATTTTAAATTGTTCATATTATTGACTTATTTTTTTCCACATATACCAATGATTATAATGCAAGCGCATGAATAAGTGATTTGAGATATTTTCAAAAATGATGTTTGGATGTGAGCTTTTTGATGTAGATATATGATAGATAATGTGGATGTCAGACGATAATGGATGACACTTTCAATAATCATAAAGTTTTTGGTGGAATGGGTATTGTAATTCTTTTTACGTCACGAGGAATTATGACAGATCGAGAAGCTCGACAGCGGAAAGCCATGGAGAACCTTGAGAGGAAACCAAAAAGTGTAATATAATCAATAAAAAAACAAATATGTTCTGAAGGTGTTGATCAAATTTTAAAATTGTATATTTTAAAGAAAAAATCAATGTTTATCAATGAATCATTTTCGACTGATAACAAAATCTAGAAGTTACTAATATCATGACATCACTTATAGATTGATTTCAATATTAATAGCATATAAATACGTCAAAATAAATAGGTATTAAAATTTCAAATAAGATTGAAGTGATTAAATATTTTGAGTGATTTGTCATGTAGTTACGAGTCGGCTCACGCAGTTTAGACACTTACTATATTTAGTCGTGAAGTTAGGGTTAGGGTCACGAGGGGTATACAGTCGGGGACGGCTCGAAGAACGTTAGTTCTTCGAGTCGAGCCTGGAAGCGTCGGGAGCGTAGAGCGACTTTCCCTTTTGTGTCGACCTGGATTCTCCGAGTGTGGAGTGGGTTGGGCTTGACTCATATTTGTGACGGTTTGTTGCCAGTAGGGTAATTGACCGACGGGAATTCCAGTGGGGAATCTCCCGTTTATTTCACTCGAAAAACTCCTTTTTGTGGTATTTTTGCGATTAGTGTCATCGTTTCAGGTTTCGGTTCTGTCTTGTACGGATAGGTGCCGATTTTGTGACGGTATTTTCCAGTCGAAAATATTCTGTCAGAATTCGATCCGGGTATTCGTCGAATCTCCGGTTTGATTTCGTCAAAAGTTTGAGAGACCTGGAGATTCAAAGCTTCTACGGTCTGATCACGGAGGAACAAGAAGACCTTCGGACTGTCGTCGGAGGATAAGCCCTGGAGCCAAAACCTCTCGCAGGAGGGCTTGAGGTTTAGGGATTTGGCGAGAGCACGAGGGGAAGGCGAATGCTCGCTCGGGTGTGCAGTCTATGCAATTTTGGCTCTCGTGTTTACATTCTGCCAAATCTGCGGCCTACAACATCATAACGGCTGGGCTCCCCTGATCCTTTGGGCCCCAGATTCAGTCCGATTCATGCACGCCGCGTGGAGTTTGCCCGGGGAGATTGTGATTTAAGCCCGAGGCGGGAGCAGTTTTGGAGCTACAATGCGTCTTTGAAGTCTGGAAGTCGAGGTCGAGGTCTGTCGCTCGAGAGTCGAATAGAGTCGTGGATCAGGTTATCGGTGTGTTCGCAGTCGCGCATCTCGGCAGCCAGCCAAGCATGCGTGAGGCCGTGCTTCGAATTTGGCCGTAGTGTGGTCGTTTGTTCGTTGCAGGCGTGCGTGCATGAGACGGAGGATTTTCGCTGGGTTAGAGACGGGTTCGTCCGCTTTCGGGCTTGAGGCTTCGTCAGGAGGATTGTCGAGAGGGGTGTGAGCGTTTTCGTGGGTCTCGCGAGCGGGCTCCGGTTCTTGGGCGAGAGTGCGGTTTTTCCGGTCCTCTGGGCGCAGGCAGAAGCCTGCGCTGCGTTTGCGTCGGTGTGGATAATCTGAACAAACGCTGCGTGCCTTAGGGCGGCCCGTTCTTCGAGTACAAGCAATGTCGGAACAAGTTGGATGGATGATAGATTTCCAAAAACGGAGAAACCTGATCAGTAGTACTTGTCTGCTTGTGTCGATCGTGTTTTTTGGGAGAACGTACCATTGTGACTGAGATGTTTGAAGCTCCAACTCTGTCAAGTACTAGATCTCCTACTGAAGTTCTTAATCCAACCCCAATGTTTCCACTGTTACTTGATTGTTTGAGCGAGTCCAAAGGTGGTGCGAAGACATTTTGAGTTGTATTTCCGCTTTGAGGATAACCCTGGCCAGCAGTCAACTGATTCACGAGATCAGGATTCTGTAGAAGAAGGGTAAGAAGAGCTGGATCATGTGCTACTCCACCCCCAGCAGATAGTTGTTGGAGTAGCAAATCAAGCCCACTAATATTGGGTACCCTCCTCGACTGATCAACAGAAGAATCTGCAGCACTATACCCACTTCCAGGTTGAAACATATTGTTTGAAGGTTCTGCCATGAAACTGTTCGGAGCTATTCCATACGGCATCACATTCGTGGTTGGGGCACTCATATGGTATGTTGAAATCTGCATTGCAGAAGCAGCCTTCCGGTGATTATTGTCTAGGAATATCTCAAATGTAAGACTATCATCATAATTCGGCTCTTCTTCCCAGGGATCTTTAGGGTCACTTGGTATAGTACTCGCATCTGGATAGTAGGCCTCCTCTTCTCTCTTCACGCGAGCAGACTGCATTTCTTTCTCTTTACTGTCTTCTCCCGCAACTACATTCCATTGAGGGTCTAGATGAAATTCTGCTGGAATTCTCCATCGAATCATGTTCGCTCTTAGAGCAGCATAGAAATCAATGATGGCAGGTTCTTTTGGTGGAAACCGAGAACTAGAACTCTCAACAAACTGTTGTCCCTCCTTGACCTCTACTTCATTTTCAGGAGTCGGAGAAGGTATTGTATACAACGGTACGCCAGTCGCGGGGCGTTCTGACCCCATCTGTGGATAAAGCTGCTCCGATACTGGAGCAGAAGGATGGTTTTGGTCCAAAAAGGCCGGATGTGTGTTTGTCACGGTGACAGAAACGGGATTATCTCTGGGCATATTTTTGGTAGGTCTTACTACTTCACCTCCGACAGGAAACAATGTTGTATCACTCGGTTCCTTGCATGAAAAAAGCCTGGAACCAACGTGTCTGTCGGTTGTTGTACTTGTTGGGGTATCATTGTGTGATGCACAGACTCCATCAACCCCGGGTTAGAGCTGAAAGGAGTGATAATTTGAGACTCATCTGCTGAAAGTGACGTGCTCTTTGGATACGTTTTCTGAGGAATAGAATCGAGAATGGCTGCTTATGACAAAATACCTTGAGAACGGTCAGATGTGG